AAATAGGTGAGTGTTCCTTGTTGCTATATTTTCCTTGACTTCATGGCTTGTTGTTATTGTTTGGTAATGTGTTAATTGCTCTTAATGATTGCCAAAACGAGTTTTCTAGGCGAGTGTGTACTTTATCGCACTCGACCTAAATGATTGTGAAATTTTCAATAATTGAACGATTATATGCGCATGTATGTAAGCCTTTTGGCTGAACTGGGCCCTGCCCTTCGTTACCGATCGACTCGAGCTAGAAGCGGATTCGGTCGGGCGATATGGTGACCCTGGGTGAATTTGGTATCCTTAAGTATTACCTTGAATTCTGGTGGAGCCTGGCCAACGTCCAGGAAGGGGGTGAACGAAATGAATGAACGAACGAGGGTTTACTTACGAAAATATATTTTCAAATGAGTGGAGGAATAAGGGGAAATGACAGGAGAACGAATGAACGAACGAATGAATGGCTTCCTATGAGCCCGTATCCTTTTAATGAATGTGTTTATCGCTTTATATTGTACATGTATCTTGAATTATTGGTGATATGTAGTGAATGCATTGGATTTATTGTTTGCCTATGTGTTCGGAACCTCACTGAGCTTTTAGCTCACCTCTTTAGTTTTGTTTTTCCTTAACAAGGGGATGCGAGCAAGGACGAGAGCCCAGTGTAGGTTAGCCTAGTCTCATTTTTTTGGTTTGTAATGGTTCTCGCCCTAGTGCTTGGCACGGGTTGGATGTATAACGAATTGAGAACTTTTGTCTATTCGATATTTGTACTCCCTTTTGAGATAGAAATGTATATAAGTTTCACTTTAAGCTTTGGACTGTTATTTCGTTTGAGCTTGTGGTTTTATTTCGGATTTGATTGAAGTACGACTGAATCTCGGCGAGAGCTGGGCGGGCGGTCCGCCGAACCCTTTAGTTCGCCTTAGGGGAGATGGGGCTGTCACATTTTCAAAAAGGTACTCGTTAGCCCCTTTCCAACTTTCTTTCTTATCATTGTTTCTCACCATAGCACAGGTCTTTTCTTGCCGCTATTAGCTGAGATAGTAGTCTCTTATGATGAGGCAGCATCCCAACCTCACTGGCTAGATGCCATGCAAGCGGAATTGGATGCTTTGGAAGCCAATAATATACTTGGACTCTCACTCCTCTCCTTTCTGGCTAGCAACCCATTGGATGCCAATAGGTTTATAAATAGAGCGCAAGTAAAACTTGCTTTATTGCCAAAGGATATACTCAACTGGAAGGTATTGATTATCTTGACACCTTTCCTCCCACTGCTAAAATAGTTCCTGTCCATTTTTTATTGACTTTAGCCGTTGCTCAAAATTGGTCTCTTTACCAGCTTGATGTTCATAATGCTTTCCTTTATGGTGACCTTCATGAAGAAATTTATGTGTCTTTACCTCCTAATTTTCAGCGACAAAGGGAGAATCTTATGTGTCGCCTCAACAAGTTATTGTGCGGTTGGAAGCAAGTCTCTCGCCAATGGTTTGCCAAATTCTCTATAACCATTCAATTTGTGGGTTTGGTACAATCTAAGCCAGATTATTCCTTATTCACACGTTGGAAAGGCACGTCACTCACAGCTTTATTAATTTATGTTGATGATATTCAAATAATAGGAAATAATTTCACAGTTATCTCTGATGTTAAACATTTTTTGCACAATCATTTCCAAATCAAGGAATTGGATGATTTGAAATACTTTTTGGGAACCGAGATCTCTCAATCAAAGAAGGGAATTTTCATTTTGCAAAGGAAGTGTGCTTTGGACATTTTGAAGGATAGAGGATATTTGGGAGCTAAAGCAGTGGATTTTCCTATGGAACAAAATGTCAAAGTATCAAATGAAAGGGATTTACTCAAGGACCCATTTCAATATAGATGACTTGTTGGACATTTGATTGTTACTCATCCAAATATCACATATTCAATACATGTATTAAGCAGGTTTATGCATGCACCTCGAAAACCACATCTGGAGTCTGCTTTACTTGAAAAATGATCCAGGACAAAGTTTGTTTTTTCCTTCTCAGAATGATCTATTTTTTTAGAATCTTTTGTGATTCTTGTCCTATTTCAAGAAAATCAAACACAAGTTATTGTGTTACTTGAAAAATGATCCAGGACAAAGTTTGTTTTTTCCTTCTCAGAATGATCTATTTTTTAGAATCTTTTGTGATTCTTGTCCTATTTCAAGAAAATCAAACACAAGTTATTGTGTTTTTTTGGGATCTACTCTTGTTTCTTGGCAGGCTAAGAGGCAAAAAACTGTCACTCTCGTTAGCTGAAGCTGAGTATAGAGTTATGACTAGAGCATGCTATGAACTATCTCGGATGCATTTATTGTTAAAAGATTTGAGAATATTATATCCAAGACCGCCGGCATTACTGCATTGCAATAATAAAGCAGCTTTGCATATAGTAGCCAATCCGGTGTTTCATGAGAGACAAGACATATAGAAATAGATTATTATTTCATTTGTTACAGGATACAAGATGGTTCAGTTACAACTCAATATGTTTTTTCCACGAATCAACTTGTGGATACGTTTACCAAGCTTTTGGGAAAAGAGATGTTTTCAATCATGAAACGCAAGTTGGGAGTTCTTGAAGTTCACTCTCCAACTTGGGGGAGTGTTGAGATGGCAAGTCCACAACTAGTGGCATAGATTTTATTGTAATCAAAGCGTTTTTAGGAAAGATTTTGTAAATTGGTAGCTTAGCAAAATTTAGTTCAATTATAGGAATTAGCAGAAATAGATATTGTACTTCTATATAAAGTGTATTGTCCCAATTCAATTCAATGTATATGAAAGAAATATCCTTTTTCCTGTCATCTTTTCAAATTAAGTTCGGGAGGGAATTTTTCTCAAAGTAAGCTTTGATAAATCTCCATCAGAGAGCATCCACCTAAGGAAATTCTGGTCTCAAACTGAGTATTATCATTCCGTCTCTTCTCAAATGATCTTGATGTTACGTTTCTGCTTGACAAAATTTACAGATCTAGTCCTACCGATTCTTGAACTTCAACAAATTTAACAGCAATTTTCTTGATTATTTTTCTTCTGCATTTGTAACAAAACTATGAGGTTTTCGAAGCTTAATGAGCAGTGCTGGCAAGATATATTTTACAGTACGTGTAATAGGAAACGCCTAGCGTCTCTCCCTCCTAAAACACTGATCATCATGATAGTGGTATGCCTTCTAAAACAGGCGAACACGACAATGGCATGGCAATGACTAAAGAAAGTTGCACGTAAATGAACCACCTAATTTACGGGAACCAGCCACTATATATGCAATCTTTTATCAGGACGAAAATACTTGACTTGGAACCACAGACTTGATATACTACATAGAATTGATCTGCAATACATAGGATTCTCCATTTTTAAAAATGGCAAGGTTGATTGCACTAGCTTTCTTTGCAATATCGGTAGCCATTGTTTCAACTTCAAGGCCAGAAGTTGCAGCTGCTGCCCCATCTTGCTCAGTTGTCGGTACTATGCTGGAGCCTTGCGAGCCATATGTAATAGACCAAGGCAGTCAACCGAGCAGTGCTTGCTGCAATGGTGTAAAAGAGGTATCTGATTCGGCAGCGTCCAAAGCAGACCTTGAAGCCGTCTGCAACTGCATCAAAAATGCATTGCCTTCGATAGAAAATGCTTCGCTTGCTCGCATTTCTGGACTTCCCAAAGCTTGTGGAGTTAACAGTAACTTTCCCCCTTTTGATCCCAACTACGATTGCTCCAAGTAAGTCACCATCTCAATCCCTCTTAGTGTGTGATCCATGAGTGTGTATTTGTGCGTGTGACATTGTTCTTGACAAATGACAAGTACTTCTGCATATGGATGCAGGATTTCTGATTGATTGCATGGTTGATGATCAAAGCTGCTTTGCTCATGGACCACTTCTGCGATGGTATAGTCATTACTAGCTAGCTGAATAAAGTTACTTTTCACTCAAGATGAATTAGTTTTGAGTGTTACATATATATGGGCAACTATAACTACTGAATGTATCTGTTGCCTGGTTTATCTTAAACTATTGTGGGAATATTTGGAACAGCAAAAATTATTGGTCATGTAATTTATTTCATTGTGCTGCCAAAGATAGATGGATTTCAGTATAAGGTAAAATAATTATTTTATTCAAGCCTAATTTTGGGAAAATAGTAAATGAAATTTGGAATGAACTTATTAAATAACTTAATTGTGTTGGGAATGCCTAATTGTGTTCTGTTTATTTTTGTCTGAGGCAAATTTTAATTTGTTTGGAACTTGTATAATTGGGCATTCAAGTTTTCACACAAAAAGAAGACAGAAGAAGTGAACTGATTGAGCTCAGTTGTAAAGGGCAATTTTGCTTTTACAGGAAAATTGCTTTGGCATTAACATGAGATTAACTAAATATAGAAGAATGGGCTGTGGAAAATCTTAGAATTATTCTAATCCAGAACTTGCAAGATTTCGCATTGAAAAATGAGAATTATGTAAATTTGCCTAGTCATGTGACATGACAGCAGGGGTCAATATCACCTTAGCATGCAAGCAACCAATTCAATATAAAATGGAGATTGAAAATTTTCTAAAAAATTCTTCTAGCCAAAATATAACATATATAAATAAGATACTAGATATCTATGTAACAATTTTTGCTAGACGGTTTATAGATAAAACTGTATTAAACTTGAGATGGTGAGAGGTTTTCAACTCAGTATTGATATATCGATTTGTATTTTTTATTTATCATTAGAAAAACAATATCAAAATTTGAGATTCAAACCATTCATGAATTTGCAGTCAATTGTCAATAGTTAATTGCTCAAAAATTTCAAAAGTCTCTGCTTTTGTGAATGAAAATCTACATTTGACTTTTAATAAAAGGTAAGAGAGCATATGATAGCACATTCCTAATAGTTTAAACAAGCCAAGAGTCGTCGTCTACGCAAATCCAAGCCTCATTAGTTTCTTCCTCACCATTATAGGCAATGAATAAATAGGAGTTAATTACTAAATGTTATCAATTCCAGTTGCCATTACAATAATAAACAGTATTTTTTTGTCATAAAAAAGATACTTTTTGACTGGTAGCATGGTAAGAGCATCTCCAACGGTGGTGTAATGTCTGACATTGTAATGGGGGTATTACACGGCCATCCATTGTGACCATGTAATACCCATTACACGCATCATCGGGGCCATCCATTGTGACATTGTGACCGTGTAATACCCATTACACGCATCATCAGGGCCTCCATTACAAAATTTAAGAGCTTGACTCTAATTTTGGTCAGCAACTTCGATCAGGTTTATTTTTTGCAACGGTAAATTTGCAACGTTAATATATTGCTAAGGCCAAGATCTTAAATTTACTCATTACATACATAGCCCCATTTCATGGCTCATTTCTTCCTCTTTGCTTCATTCTTTCCTGACAATGCATGATCAAATTTGCTTTTTTATGGCTTGCATGTGGAGGGCTGCACCTGCGTTCCACAACAACTAGAGAATAAGAATGAATAATCTGGGAAGGAATATTGAATTGAATTGCCATAGCAACACGAACTGCACATAGGTTTTTGAGATGGCAACGGGATGGGCCGTTGTCAAAAGACTGCCCCTGGCCCCCACCCCCTTTCTCTCGCTTCTATTTCTCCTACTCCCGCCCCGTTTCCCTCACGGGTGACCATTTCTTTTCTTCTTTTTTTTTTTTGGTATTGAAGAGAAGGATTTTATTTTTAAGTAAATCCATCTCTGCAATATATGTGTGTCGCGCCCCACTTTTCGATGAGTGTGTGAATGTGTGATGTGTGGTGTGTAATGTGTGAACGTGTGCAAAGTGAAAAGTAAAAGGCCATGAGACTTAGAATGCGACGATTTGGCCAAGTGAAGTTCAAAAGGGTTTTTTGTATAAAAAATGGAGTCGCCACTTGGTATAGAGTTAGGGTGTACCAAGTCACCCAAAAATGATTTTTGTTTTTGAATAATAAAAAAAAGTAAATAAACCCTTTTTGAGAACTTTTGGGTCTACGTAACCAAAAGAGGGATCGGGGGTCACATTTGACGAAGGGGAAGGCAAGGATAAAAAATCCAAAGCACCCCTTCGACCTAGCCAAGGCTAGTTGCGTGACTTAAACCAATTTTTCCTAATTTTTCTACCCAAGGTATGTATCGCGTGTTGGATATGTCTATATGAATGCAAAAACCTAGACCTAGGGGGACATGGGGGAAATTTCTCTTCAAAGGTTGAGTGGTGCCAATCACATTAATTGTGAAGCCCAATAATGATCCTTTGGAGAGGTCACACGTAATCCTAAATGACGTAAAATGAGTGGAATGCATGCCATGTGAAAGTGTGAGTTTGTGTGAAATGAGAAAAATGATAAAAATAATAGGATGTAAGTGGAGGTGTGCAAATGAAGATAAAAAGTGTTCGTGTGCAAGTGAAGGGATATAAAGGTGCACGTGTGCAAATAAAAGTGTAAGGTGTGAGTAGTTAAGTGAAAACGTCCAAAAGTAGTGTGAAGTGAGAATGTGGAAAAAGGGTTAGAATATAAAGTAAGTGTATGTGATAGTGAATGAATAGAATGCATGAATCCTATAGGAATGCATCAAGACGGGAACGGGGAGTCCTAACTTTGTGACTTAATCTTCCCTTTGATAGAAGGGGGAACTAGCGTGCTAAGGCTATCGAGTAGCCACACTCGCTCGTTTCCCTTATCAGAAGGGGACTCTTCAGGCAAATGTACCCTAACTAGCATGAGATGCAAGACCTAAAGTGAGGGGAAAGGGGAATCGAGGAGCATGCCAGATGATAAAACTAAGGAAAAATGCATGATATGTAGTGAACAGGCAAATAATGCATTAATGAAAAACAAAGGAAATATCCTATTGGGTCTAGCGTTGGACTAGCCCTTTCTATGAATTCCTACTAGCATTAGACTAGTGGAAACAATAAAAGAAGCCACAACTAGCGTTGGACTAGTGTGGTGACGTACATTCATCCATTCCATTCATCCACACTATGGAAAGCGAGTAGACATGTCCAACACTTATAAACACGTAGCACATAACACTTAGCATGCTCGACTAGATGCAAGAGCCTAATAAAGCAATTAAACATGTAGCAACAAGAACAAGCGACCAAGGGGAAGGGGGAAGTGGACCAGATGTTCTCCGAGCCCTATCTATTACAAGCCAAGAGGTGTACACATACCCCATAAAAGCATAAAAGGGGAAAGGGAAATGGACAAGATGCTCTCCGAGCCCTATCTATTACAAGCCAAGAGGTGTACACATACCCCATAAAACTTAAATAAAAGTAAAAGTAAGTAAATGCACGCAAGGAGGTAAGGAAAGCAACGTAGACATGCATATTCACATAACACGTAGGAGCACGTAAGGTCAAATGTAGTGCAAATGAGAGATAGAGTGTACCTCCCTTGAAATTGGGCCCCAATGAAGTAAAATCACTTATTTATCTTCCAAAATAAAAGAAATGGTCAAGGTACCAATTTATTTGCCAAAAATTAAAAAAAATAGGCAAACACAAGCTCACATGGTCATAAAGCTCTTAAATTCATGCATGAAGTGCAATTTAAACAAAGCATGGTAGTTAATTGAAACAAAACAAGCCATGAAGTTGTAGAGTTAAAACCTCCAAGGACCAGATTGAAGAAATTATTCAATTGGTTGGGTCATAGCGGCATTAGTTAGAAACCAAGGGGTCAAAGTGCAATTTTCAGAATTATTTTGCATGCATGCAGACTAACATAAGATAACATTCTTCAACAAGAAACAAGCAATTACTGCACTTTCTGTTTGCAAATTCATGTCCCCAGGCAACTTTTGATCAAACTTTCTCAAACAAAACCAAAACTCTAAACTAAACCACCAAGTACATAACTTCAACATCTAAAAATAGACTAAAACAAAAAACTTGGCAAGTGATTATATAAGTGCTGGAAAATTTTCATGCGCAAACCTCTTTCAATTTCGGCAAAACAGAAAATCTGCCCATAACTTTCTTTCAAAATAAAAAAAAACAGGTTTCGAACATAAACTTGGGACTTCAGCACACCTTCTTTAACCAAACCTTTCACCTAAACACTTCTCCAAAAAAAATTCAAATAACAAACAGACTAAGTAATTTAAACACTCAAAAGATTTCAGCATGCCGAATGTAAAGCCTGCTGCATTTCTGGTTGCTAAATATCTGCCAAAACCTCTCATCAATTACCCAAACAGCTCAAACAAATTCCCAGCTCAATATTGATTAGTTTCCATAAGACCGACATCACATACAGCAGCTAATCATGCTAAACGAAAAAAGTCAAAACAGAGAAAAGCCACAATCTCAAATTTGTTGCCGCAATTCTGCAGCTTATATCGTGCAACTGTGTCCGTGCAGGAAATCTAATCAGACTTGCAATATCACCACCCTCAAACTCACATAACCTTCATTCATCGATCAACTAAACTGATCTAGGCAAAGAAAGTAAGAAAGAACAAGGCGTATGACCAGAAAATTTTGACAGCTTTTTGCACAAGGAGCTTCGCAACAAAATATGTAGTTTTCAAAGAACTTATTTGATTACTTGCTGGTTTCTGGTGCTGCGACTCTTTGTGTTTTCCCCCCCCAAAAATCCAGAAGCAAAAGATGCAAACTTTGGCTATTTTCAGCAGCTTTTATCCGATGTAATAAACCCAATGAATCAACAAACCCACAAAACTCTAGAGTTCAAACTCACTGCCTAACAAAATTTGGAGATACACACTCCGCAGGCCAGATTGAAGCAGGTAGAGACAACGACAAAAAATAACAAAACAGAAAACCAAAGGCAAGATTCCAACTCAGTCACGAAAGAACTTGGAAAGGCTAAGGAAACCAGTTTTAGGAAGATACCTGAAATTCTTTCTTTTTTGATTGATGGAGAGAAAGTGAAAGCTTCGGTCTTTCCTCTTGCTCTGGTGGTTTCCTTTGCTGGTTTTTTGGTTTTCCGTCGTCACTGGGATGCTCTGCTTCCTTTGTCCGACCGTCCTCTTCTCTGATTTGTTCAACCGTCACCTTTCCTTTGGTTTCTTTCTTCCCAGCCTTCAACCGTCAAAGCTCTCTCCTTTTTCTTTCTTTTGTTGCCTTCTAAACCTCCCCGTTGATCCCTCACTCTCTCTTCGTAGCCCTCTGCCCAGTTTTCAGCCGTCAATCCTTTATCCCCCTAAAAAAAACCTCTGTTGCGGCTACCTTTCTTCCCTTTTATATCTACTTCCCGATTCTCCTAAACCCTTATCTCAACGATGAGGATGAGGGGCTTGTTACCCCTGTAAGATCCAGCCCTCCAATTGTCTGCTGTGAGTGTCCTTTGCACGCTGCAAAAAATTGCAGCGTGCATGCCGCGACAAGCTTTTTTTTTTGTTTTTTTTTTTCAGAATTACAGAAAAAGATGAAATAAAATAATAAATAACAAAAATACACAAACCAGGCAATAATAATAATAACAAAACAAACAAAAAATAATTTTAAACAAAACTAACAACAATGGTCATTTTTAATTTTTAATTTTGTATTTTTCATCATTTTCTTTTTCTCAAAATAACTTAATAAAAATAACTAATGTGCCCAAAGATTGAATTTAAAAAAAATAAACATATTTTTGTGAACAAATTTTCCTTTTTCCACTTTCAAGAAATTCTATGCTAAAAACTTAAAAATAAAAAAAACTAAAATCGAATAAAACGAACACGACAAATAAAAAACTAAAAATGAAATTACACCAAAAATTTGGTGTCTACAATGTGAATTAGTAGTTTAAGAGAACATTACATTCAAACTGTTTGTCCTCAAAAATAAGATTTATTTATTGGTGGACAAGCAAGCATTAGTGTTAATAGATTGCAAAGAAAAGGTTAGCAAAATAGTTATAAATTCTTGCAATTGACACAATTTCATCAAATTGAGAGTGAGTGGCAGTTAAAAAAGAAAAAAAAAAAGATATGTGACAGAGAAAGAAACGAACCAAAGAAAGAAAAGTGGAAGAGGGTTAGATTAAATGTTAATAGGTTTCTTAGTTTCTCTAATATTTGATGTTTTATGTTTAGGATATAAATAAAATTAAAACCATTTAAACTAACCTACATATAAACTTATTAAGGTTGCAAATATAGATAATTCGTCAAGGTTTTAGTCTAATTATTAATTAAGACTAGTTTATAATTATTAGATTATTTATATAATATAATCATTAATATTTATGCGAGTCAAGTATACATTTTGACAGCCCATATTTCAAGCTGATTGGGCTAAACTTCTGCTAGCCTCACCCCATTGAGTGTCCTATAGCCATATACCATGGAAAAATTGGGAATTCCTAAATATGGCCAATGAGTTTTATCTGTCTCGAGCTTCAATCTAGTGATCAACCTAGTTGGCTCATTTTTAACAAGTATGAAGATTGCCTTAAAGTTTAGTTTGTAAATATTTTCAACGAACGGGCAGGGGAAGCGGCGTGCGAGGCCAATTTACTCGAATTTGAGATAAGCTTGAGTTACTTGAATTTTTTTTTATATATATATTTTTAAATTTTATGGTAATTGAGCTAAGTTCAAGCATAATTTGAAACTTTAACGAGCATTAAATACTCTTCATATTTGTATTCATTAATTACTAGATTAAATTGAAACAAACTCTTATTGAATTACTAGATCTCTTTGTCATCTAAATTCAAGGTCACACTCCTTTGAATCAAATCTTTTGTCATCTCACCGCCGCGTAGTCCGACTAGTTCCGTAACCTGATAGTTATCAGTAAGTTTCGTGATTGACTCCCATATGCTATTTCGCTATGTATTTTTTAGGTAATATTTTACATAATTTTAAGAGATTAGTCTGGCTTGTAATACTTTAAGTGTAAAAAAAAAAAAAAAAAACCTTTCTCATCTCAGGGCCTGAATTCCCCTATCCAACGGAATATGGGGCCTAACGAACCTAAAACCCCAATAGCCCAAAGCCACAAAACCCCTCTAATTTCCTGTCATTAGACTTTGCTTTGCACTTAATTCAAAACTCAGAACACCAACTTTCATTAGAATGGAAGGAAAAGAACGTGAAGAAGAAGAGGATATCATTTGCTTGGATGAATCATTCTTCATCAATGACAAGTATGAAACAAATACAGAAAACCCACATCCACACACACTTCTATGTGTATATTTTGGATCATTGTGTACATTCTTGAATTCATTTTTCTGTCACTGATTGAGAATCCATTGTCTGCTGCAGTTACCAGCTCACAACCTTTACTTTTGGGTCTCATGTTCTTCAGCTTTATTGCCTCCAAGCTGCTTCGAGTGAGTTCACTCTTTCGTTTATCTGGGAATTATTCTACCTGCTTTTTTAATTTTTGCTGTTATTCCTCTTGGCCAAGAATGTGCACTTGTTTTTTTTTTTTTTTTGTTATTCCATTGGTTTCATGTTTAGATAATCATGGAATTGATGTAGAAACTCATGATATTCATATTGTTTTTTTCTTTTCTTTTTTTTTTGGGCCTTGTAGGTGCGCTTGAATTTTGAAAATTTAGTTGAATAAAAAACTTGGTATTGTAACTTTCGGAAACACCAATTGAAATCAGGGATTTGGTTAAGAATTGGAGTTAATTAGAAACCAGCATGTTGTAGTTGAATATTATTGATCAGTACATCTCGTGTCAGTACTGTAACCAAATATATCGAATTTGTTCTTTGTTTTGATTTTGAATTTTATTTGCTAATAGAATTTTGTGGACTGACTAGCTATTTCCAAAATAGAATATTGTGGACTGACTAGCTGTAAGACAGCTGATTTTGATTTAACAGGTCAGCTGGTGTGGCCTGGGGCAGTGCTATTGAATGATTATCTTTCCAAAAATGCTGGCATTCTGCAAGGGTGTTCTGTAATTGAACTTGGCTCTGGTGTAGGTTAGTGTTAGTCATCGGATCCTATTATTCTAATGCATCAGATTTTTTAAGGGAAACACAGAAAAAAGTTTTCCTGTTATTGTAAGTCCAGCTGGTGAAATACTACTTCATGAGGACAATTCCAAATTCACAAAATAAAGGAGAACAATTTTGAGGAGTTCGGGGGGGAGGGATGGGTAAGGGGAGGGAGTGTAAGTGGGAGGTCTCGAGGTCAAGGTCCTAGGTTCGAGACCTCCCACTTACACTTTAAAAAAAAATATTTCAGGAGTTCATTGCAATAGCTAAAAGCTAATCACACAACTTATCTACATCTACAGAATGGGTTATTTCATAGTTTGTGAAGAATAATTATAATCACAAAATGAGTGAACATTCTCATATAGATAGCAGTTTAACAAAACAACAAAAATTTGGGATGCAGAGGAACAGTGCAACTTGGTGACATAAAATTAATTAGAGAGTATATCATTCATTTGGTATGCCATATGTGTATGCAGACAATAGGTCTGTTTCTGCCAATGCTGCATGCTTGTGCTATGCATGCTTGTGCTATGCATGCTGAGAGAATTCTGTAAAAGCCAACTTACAGAGTTAGTTAGAAATGGCTTTTAAACTATAGGGATGGTCTAAATGCTAAACTGTTGCCTAAGCTTTCACATATGTGCTCTTTTGCCTAGATTTTTAATGTCAGCACAGGATGACTTGTAATGTCTAAGCTGTGATGCCTGTAACCATTTCAGTTTTTCAGTTCCTCAAGTATAAAGTTTGTTGAACCTTCTACAAGTGGGAACCTTGAGACTAGATTCTTAGTAAATCTCAAATTAATTTTGAACCAAAGGTTCATATAGAATTGGAGATCTTTTTACCTTTATTATTGGCTTAAGAAAAGTCATGAACAAGCTTATTTTTTAAGTTTTGGCAATAGATAAGGCCATTAGTGGTTGTCACAGCAGGGGCGAAGCAAGTAGAGGCACAAGGTTCACTAGCTCAGCGTCTACTCATGGAAGACTTGGTCTTTCGTTCTTTTGAGGGGAGACAAAGAATTAATGAGGAAAATTAGTTTTTCTCTCCAGCATTTTTCATACTCTCCTGTACTCTAGAGCAATGACAATGTCTAGCAATTTCTGTTGAGTGCAGGCATTACTGGAATACTGTGCAGCAGATTTTGTCGTAAAGTTGTTTTGACAGATCATAATGAAGAGGTTCTTAAGGCAAGGTTCTGCAGTTCAGTTTTAGTGATTGATTGTTCTGCAATTTGATACCTGATGTATCTGATCTCTATGTACATTTTCAGATTCTTGAGAAAAACTCAGAGTTATGTGTATCTACTCAAAGTTCCATTTCTTGTGCTGGTAAGTGAACAAAATTGAGAAAGCAGATGCTCACTTGATGAAATTTACCTTGCTTTAGTGTGCTATTTTCAGGTTTAAAGCCCAAGAAGCTAGAATGGGGGAACTCTGACCAGCTCAACCATATTTTACTGGAAAATCCAGAAGGATTTGATTTAGTCCTTGGAGCTGATATCTATATCCAAATCACTACATTTTCTCTGCTGGACTTTAACTATTTATTTAGTCTCGTTTGTGCATGTTTGTTAACTATTTATTTAGTCTCGTTTGTGCATGTTTGTTTTACTTTTAGTGGTTAATATATAATCCATGCTAGCTGGTCATTGGTAAATTTTTCAATTTTCAAAATAGAAACAATTTTTTTCAGTTAGAAACTGGAAACCCATTTCTCTCTCTTGGTGAAGATTTAAAGTGGTGCCAAAGACCCCTTGAGGACAGATATTCATGGGATTTTAAGTCAATGTTCTTCATACTAATACATAAAGTAGGTTGCTTTCTTAGGTAATTCCATGCATTCGGTTGTATTCGAAACATTTGAGTAATGGTGTTTGCAAGCTTTAAATGCATGACAAACTTGCCTTCTGATGTATTCAGATAGGTATATGAATCATTTTTGTTATGTCCTTAAAGGTAATGTGATATCCATAGCTTGTAGTACATAGTCAAATTAGACAATACTGAACATCATATTCTCCATCCCAACAATATTTAGTTTCTTCTATGAGTAGCATATTGTTCGTGAAGGAAACAGAAGGAAAAAGCCCTTAACCAAATATATAAGTTTTCAGCAGTCAAGTATTCCTCTGCTCTTTGATACGGTTAAACAGCTCCTTGTTCATGCTGCACCAAAATGCAAATTTATATTGGCTTACGTATCCAGAGCAAAAGTGTAAGTGATGAAATTTGAATTTATGATCGTCAGCTGCTCATATGCATTTTAAGAGCTACTCATCCCTGTTTCCTTGCATACAATTGTCAAATCAAATGCGGTTGCAGACGCTACACAGTTTCCTCTTTTGTTCTTTCTTTGTTGGATTGAAAAATTCTTGTTAAGAAAGAGAAAATGTTGTTAGATCATCTTTGCTAATGGTGCTGTATTTGAGGTGCAAAAGAATGAATATGTGCATATCAACTTTCTTAGGTCAAATTGGAAAGGTGTATTATGTAGATTCTTAATATGTTCAAAAAATTGGAGGAATAGAGATTTTGCTTTTCTATATATTTAAGTGGGAGCTCAGCTTTATCATCTTATTAATATTACTGTGGTGAGAAGCACATTCTGTTTCAGGTATACTTGGTACACAGTTTAAAAATACCTTGAGAAATCTGTCCTACTTTGATTAGAAACAAGAATATGATCATGCAGCAAAATAATTTTGTGGGATTTGCTTCCGACCAGTATCTATTTTCTGATTCCTATCAACCTCGCAGGTCTTTGCACAATTAAAAAAGTTTCTTTGACATATCTTTCATTACTACATGATGCCTCATCACCCATAATTTTTTTTTTTTTAAAAAACCAATAAATTGTGATGCAAAAGATGCCCGGACCACAATGCTCTAGTGCAGTCCTTAAATTTTCGTTGTAGGAATGCTGAAATAGCTGCTTAGATTTGTGAAGTGGAGTAAGAGATCACCATGTGATACTTGAACTGTTGTATTACCAATTCTTGCTGGTACAGTCTTTAGATTTTATGATGGTGACTGTATAGTTGAGGTTCAACATACTGTGCGCCTTACTCTAGCTTGGATAAGGACTAATGGGGCAGAGGAAATTCAGGCAAAACAAACCAGAGGCATCTCTTGCCTATGATTCCTAGCCTTGGTTTTGACTAGAATTTAAGGGGTTTTTGGTCAGATCTCCAATAATTTCTATGTATCAGATTCATCATACTGCATAGTTTGCATAACTACTGTCTGACAGTGTAATGATTGCTGGATTTATGCCAACAACTGAAATTACTGCATGATATACCATAAACCTGACTTGACATCAGTTCATCAGTATCATTATGAATCCAAATATGTTTACTATTAAGTTTGGACCATTAGATTACCTTCAATTGTTTCAATAGGATGAAGATACTGATTTAGATAAAAAATCCACATGTAAATATTTTCAAATACACATCTCCAATTATCTTTTCCTACCGTGTGCATGAGCTTGCAGCATCAACCCAGTTGATCAAGAGCTGTAGGCGTTGGAAATTTATAATAAGCTTGTGTCTGATGCCAATTTTCTCTTGATCATGTTATACATCATTCGTTCAGTAACATTACTTATCTGTGCAGCATGGATACGCTCGTTGTTCATGAAGCCATTCAGCATGGATTACAGATGAATGAAGTTGATGGGACTCGTGCTTTGGTTAAAAATCTTGAAGGAGTTATCTTTGAGATCACCTTAGAGATAAACAATTGCAGTTAAGGATGTCCAGGCGGTACTGCACCAAGGAAAAGTTACTATTGTCAGAGTAAAGAGATGAGTGTAGCTTCTAGTGACCCCCATTTGCAACATTAATTATAGCATATGAGATCATGTTTTTCTGTATTCTTGTAGTCGTGGAGAGAAAGCAAGAATTAAAGGATCAAGTTGAATTTCAGTTGTACAAGTGTAGCTTGTCATATTCTATTCCTGTATAAAAGACTTAACAGGTGAGTACTATGTGCATTTTGCTTTTGTGTTTCTTGCAGTCAGTAAAGACGTTTCTTTTTTTTTTTTTCCTTTCTTTTCCGCTGCTATTATTGACAGCCATTAGTTAAAATGGAGAACACACTAAACAAAATCCCAGCGCATTTGCACCAGTTTGTGCCTGTGTGTATATGGTCTATGATTTTGCGTTTTGCTGTCAAAGCGTCTTTTTTGGAAGGAACTAGGAACTATTGATGAAATGTAGCAAAAACAGAAAATGTAGGCATTCTGTCGTAGTAGGATCTAAAGATTGGAAGCAATGCCAATCTCATTTCTCTAGGAATGGGTGTTTCATTTGTTGTTTAAATGCCATTTTTATTTGGAAAAATTGTTCAAAACATCTCTCGCATTTTGAAAAATGACTTTTTTTTTTCTTTACTTTTAAAAGTGTAATTTTACGTTCCTTATAAATTCACATTGATTGAGTTTGGTCGCTACCTAAGTTTTATATTAGTTTTTTGCTAGAATCTATCATGTGGCCTGCACGTGATCATTTTTTAAGGATAAAATTGTCAAATCAAATTTCACATAATTTGATTTTTTCATCTCTCACATTTTATAAAATAAATTTTTTTGTCTCTCATATTTCAAAAAATGAATTTTTTTATCCCTCACATTTTATAAAATGAATTTTTTCATCTCTATTGATTATGTGGACCAATAGTTTCTTGTTTTTTTAACCCATGTATATATCTATTTAATTTCACATAAACAATAAGAAAAGCTAATTGTACTGTTCATGTGAAATGAATTTTTTTGACATCAAATACAGATATATACGAATAGCTAATTTTTTTAAACCCATGATGAAAAATGAATTTTTTCATCTCTATTTCACCTAAATAAGCTAATTGTAATTGTATATGAAATTAAATACATATATATTATATGCTATTTACACTGTTCATGTGAAATCAAATACACATATATATGAGTTTTCAAAAATAAGAAAAGACTATCATACACATGATCAATGAGGGATGAAAATTTTCATTTTGCAAAATGTGAGATATGAAAATTTTCATTTTGTGAAATGTGAGGGACTATGGATTAGATTATGTGAAACGTGTTTGACAATTTTATTCCTAAAAAATGATCATGTGCAAGGCACGTGGTAGATTCCGAACAAAAACTAGTCGAAAACCTAGATAGGGATCATATTTGACCAATGTGAATTTGTAAGAGACGTAAAATTACACTTTTAAAAGTAAATGACGAAAAAAATTATTTTACAGAATGTGAGGAATGTTTTGAACGATTTTCCCTTTTTATTTGTAAAGTGTATTTAGGATGCGTTATATTTATTGATAAAGTACTAAATAGGTTTGATGTATCTTCCATAAAATTTTCAAGAGAATAGAGTGCATGCTATGTCTAGATTAACAATTTCTTATTAACAAAAAAAAGGGTCCAACATGCTTTCATACCTTAAATCTGATTTTTGACCGACAAAACTTCGGCTACCTTCCCGAGGACTTTCTTACTTGGGCGTTGCAGCCTCCAACGACTAGAGTGACTTCCTTTAAAGGCCACTTTAGAGTTTCTAGCACAATTTAGTTTCATTTCTTTTCTCTAAATGTACTCAAATGTAAGGTATGAAAAGCTATTAAGAAACTTGATTCTTTTATTAATAGATCTTGTAGTACAAGATAGGTTGGCATGCTACTCTCTCTCTCTCTCTCTTTATTAACTAGACATGAGAGAAAATTTTTCAAGATAATTGATTTTTCGATAAAGTTGAATTGCCTTCTTCACATGCCATCTACCTATTTATATAGGTTGGCGGACATTGATTGCAAAACTGTTGGCCTTGTTTGGCAAGCAAATTTTTGACCAAGTTTGTTTGCTACAAGTTTTTAAACAACTTTAGTTACAGTAATCTTAAAAAACTTCTCAAAGTTTTTAAACTATACACTTCAAAATGTCCAAAAATTTACAGACTTCAAAAATTTTAAGTTACAGTAAAATTTTAGACAAACATCCAAAAAACTCACTTGCCAAATGGAGCCGTTGATGAAACTTAAGAGACATATAATGCTTCACAATCATCAAGAAACAATGAGCTCCCACTTGCCATTTTACTTGAAAAATTAGGGAATATTTGATAATGTTGGATCTGGAAGCATAGCAATTGAGGTAGTCAATTGGTTAGCATCCCATTTGCCATTAAATTTCTTCACCTTGTTATCCATTAGCTTATCTTAGACTATAAGATGTGATAGAATCTTGGTCACAAAATGTTTTCATAAAAGAATTAAGACCTCAAATTGCTGAGACCATGAATGAACGTTGCAAATATGTAGATGTGAACATCGTAGCTGCATCTCCATGCGCAGAATACACATCTATAAGCCTGAGACATTACTTCCATTTGCAGTCCAGGGAGTAATTTGTGGTAGGTCAAGTCTCTCCATTGTTGAAATTGCTGTTTTAATGCCACATAGGACATCTAGCTAACCAAAGTTCTCCCCCATATGCCTAAACAGTAAACTGTGAAGGACAATTTACATTTAACATAGCAAGATTAGTTGCTGTGGCCAGAAACACCAAAGGCTCCTAGAGGGCTCATAGCAGCCATATAAGAGGACAGCATGGTAGAAATTGTGTTGGGTACATTCTCACTTTGCTTGAACTATCAGGCTTTTTATATTTGATAATAAATTAACTTTTTATGCATTAACAGCGTAGTAATTTTTTTTACACAAGCAGCTGCGAATGTATGCCACATGCACATGATTTATATTTCACTTATGATACGTACTTTCACTTACAGTCACTTATGGAAAGAAAAACGCGCGACTTCCAAATCAACATTTAGTATTTTTGGCCCTTGAACCAACTTAAAAGGGTAAACAACCAGGAAGGAATAGTGCCAAAGAGAAAAAAAGAGCAAACACAGTGCGAAAGAGATACCATTAGTACTTAAACTTGTGGTTTATCATCAATCTCTCTGATTTCTGGGCTAGGTGTTTCTAATAACACTAGCAAAAATAGACATTTCCTACAACAACAAACACGGGAAGCTAAATAATCAGCAGCCGTGCATTTCTTATGATGTGCCAAATTATACAAAAACGAAAAGATACTCATCAACAGAAACTGTTTTTGCGACCATCTGAGTTGATAGGCAGGAACTTAGAAATGGAAGCGAAATTTCTCCTGGGTGGGACAGGTTTCCAAAAGGAAGTGCTTTTAAAGGTTTCAGGACTAAGACCTCTCCCGCATCTTAGCTCTGGCGAAAAACACTCCCGCAAGCAAGCCTGGAAAATGGATCACACAAGATGATTTTGACAAGGAATTGCTTGATTAAAACTTTCAGAGGCTCAACAGAGCATGACAAACTCACCAAAAAATATGCTCGCAGAATTCTCTAGACTGGTTGGAACATGGAAAAGAAGAATGCCAGCAACAGACAGGGGAATTTTATTGAGTGAACCCACCAGGCTGCACAATAGTAGAAGGGAAAATTATAAAGAAACACTGGATAAGAGTTATATCAGAGAAATCACAAAACACTAAGCACGATTCTTTTGTCAGTTCTTTTACGAATCACCTAAACTTGAGCTCCTCATCAAGCGTATAGAATTGGAAAAAAAAAATGAAGAAGTGCAGTTTATAAATCCATTTTGGTTGAATGACTTCATAAATGGTCACAGCTCTGTGTTCATGGCACACGCTCCTTTTAAAGTTATGTTGGATAAAATCTGAAGCTTCTAAACTGATTATATCTAATTCTCTTGCAAATGATATAGCATCAGGAGAAGGAAAATGTAAAGGGAACCACAAAAAGATCAGTAATAAAACAAAGATTGCTCAGTTAGCCCTCAAATGGGACCATAGTCGAAACAACATCCTATTTTATCATTCCAAACCAAATCCAGTGTGTATGTTCCACTAGGCAGGAGCAAGAGAGAAAAGTGACAGTTCTCAAAAATACAGTCACGAGCATCTGCCGATTTATTTTTCCTTCCACATTTTGTTCTACAGTTGTCTATATAGTTGTTTGGATCTTAAAAACACTTCTTAATTACCAAATACATCTCTTAATGTTTTACCACAATTGAAAACTATCTACTTTCTTACACATAACCACAGATTGACTTCTAACTTTGCAACCTTGTGCTCTTGTTTTCTGAGATTATAGCAAAAGGAAAATCCTTACTATTCCTTGCCTTTTGGGTCTGAAATTATATTTTTCCGCAATTTACATGCTACACGCCTGGTATACATGCTCTTCATAAATTGGCATTACTGAATCCATTAATCTTTAAGCTAATTGTTTGACCGGAGAAAGTATTTTTTCAATCTTGCTTTTGGCATGAGTATTTTTAACATGATCTAAACAAATATAACAATTCAAGGAACAAGTGGTAAACATGTTGGGGTCACCATACTAATGATGTAAATTCAAGGAGAAACTCAGATACTTTAAGAACCACTATAGTTTTCTGTTATAAGTAGACTTTCTTGTTTACAGAAGTAGTAATATTACTCCAGGATGAATCAATGGAGACCAAAACTTTAAGCAAATTCAGAAAGAGAAAAAGCACTAATTTTAAAAGATCTAGCATGATGCCATGAAGTTTAAGGTATCAAGGATTAGATCATGCGTCTTTTTACTTTTTACGCTAGTATATGTGCAAATTCTTTACTTTTTGGAGGTTGAAAGTAGGTGCAAATCCATGTAGAGTGAGAAGGCAATTGGGTCATAAAATTAGAGAATGGGTTATTATGCAAACAAATCTGGTCACCCAACTATCCTTGAAAGACAGAAGAATAATATTTCCGTACATATAATATTGATGTAACACTTTGAATACAAGCCTATTCGGAACTCATAATGAAAATCTTCTGCATATTAAAAAGAACTGATGGGTTCATACTCTCACCTGTAGGTTGTAGCCCCTGTTTGATGGAGAAACCACATGGAAGTAAAACTGATTGCTAACCCCAAAAGTCCACTTAACGTCATTACCAACCAGAAGATGGGCAATCTTAGAAGTGGCCTGCCATTAATTACAAAAATAAATAAGATGAAAAGCTGAAATAATTAAAATCTTCAACTAGTCATAAACATTTATGTAGTTGTACTCAACTGCACTAGCTTTTATGCACTTATAACCTTTTTATTTATTTATTTATTTTTACGCACTTAGACCATTTAGGAAAAAAGGTATGAAAGAGTAAATACAGAGAATGCCAACATATTACAGCAATATGGTGTATTTTTAGAAGTACAGAAAACATTGATCCACTTGTATCAATATCATTAGAAAAGCATGATTTATGTAATAATGTCCTAGAAAAAGACTCCACAGGAATAAGTAATTATAAGCTAGATATCAAAATCAGAAAATGGCAGCTCCTACAGAAATAATTTCATACACGAGTATCTAACTCTCTCTCTCTCCCCCCCTCTCTCTCTCTCTCATGAAAATAAGTAGCAAGTCCAAACATTAGCCATTGGTACCATTCAAATATACAGCCAAAGTTTATCAAATCAGGGGCTCAACCAGAGGAGCAGAAATGCTTTCCTGGTGTTTCTAGGGGCTTGTATCGTGTGTCAGCCAAAGTTTAACAGGTAAAATTTAAACTCTCACAAAAGCTAATTGTAACGGGGGACAGCTACAAGTTCTAAATTTCATAAGCAAAACTGGGTAAGGCTTACAACTAACCTTCAAAAGCAGAAAGCCTAGAATTAATTTAAAAAGAACAATTGAAGTGGACCTCCTAAAATTTAAAAAACTCATCTAAAATAAAGTATTAATAAACATGGATCGCAAAAGAAGTCAGAGTATAGAAGAGACTCACAAGCACCCCCATATCACAATACATCAGAAGGATAACAAAACTCACGTTTTAGATAGATAATCCACCTCATTAAATATTAATATAAGCAAAACCCCTAAAGGTATTGAAAGGGTGTTGTTTAGCAGGACCATAGAGAACTCGTTCAAGTCTCCTGATTTGGTGACTTGCTTAGCTGTGTCCATGACCCTACGCAACGTTAACTGCAGAATAAGAGAAGAATAGGAAAACAAGCTAACTGTCAGCATCTTCCATAAAACACAATGCAAAAGGTCAAGAAATCTCAGAAGCAGGAAACAATGGAATTGTAAGTGAAGCAATTAGTGATGTCACAACATATTAAAAACAAACCCCAGTCCAAGAGATAATATAGATGATAAAATCAAGGCTCACAAGCCATAAGATGATGCTGTATTGATGACACAGGTAATGGAAAGATTAAAAAGAGATAGGATTTGACTGATGTCATAACTTGAATTACTAATAGCCTTAAAGGAAGACTTGGTTTGAAGCTATTCTTTAAACTCCTCTGTCAAAGTGGAGATGGCATTAGGCTCTACATACAACTTTGTTATTTAAGTCATGGGTCCATCTGTATCGACAGCTTCAACTACGTTTAAACTATCAGCAAGCATATTGCACCAACTGATTGTTATTTTTCCAACATAGTTTAGTCCCTCTAATGGGATAACACAGATGCAAATACATTTTTCTACTATTATGCCAAACCAGAGACTATATTGAAAATACATTGCAGAATAAATCACGTAACAGGACATTAATCTCTTATGTAAATCCAAATTTATAAGCATACCCTTTGCCACAGGAAAGCAAGGCAACATGGATGCCTGACAAACAATACAAGCCCCTAGAAACACCAAGTACCCTAGACATTAAAAGCAAAAAGGAAAAACTCCAGCTGAAACTCATTATCTTCAACAATTTAAAATTTGTGAATCTACCCACCATATATATATTTCCTAAATAAAAAAAGCTAAAGGCACAGTCAAACTCAAATTATAGATGAGTTCTTTTGTGTAAACTATCAGTTTACTTCTGTACTGAGGTCAAGAATGCTAGTAAGTTTTCATTTGATTGTTCTTTTATTTTAGATTAGCATAAATAGAGCCGGTAAGAAATTCCTTCAACATAAACAATCAAATTTAAAATACTAGAGGAGGCCCCAACTATGTGTTTCATTTAAACAAAATACAAAATCCAAGAAACACCATATTAAATATCTTTATTCACAACAATGGTTTAAATTTTGTTCCTCTATCTCCATTTGTGCCCATATGCACCCCATCATAGAAAGTAACAGAAGAAGATAAAATATATATTCATATGCAGCTCTTCAAAATGAAGATAGTGCATAAACTTGCAGACCTTTATATATCATAGATAAGTCTATGCTTCAAACCAAAACACTTAATTCTCCCATTGCATGTTTGAAGTTATTGTCCATTTCTGAAACAGTATATATGCTCGAACACACATTGTTCTAAAAGATGAAAGATTTAATCTGTTCCTCCTGGATTACCAGCAAAGGTTTTATAATTAGACCAAAGAAAAAGTCAATTTTGCCTGTTCAAAATTGATTCTTCGATGATCCAATGGTTTAAGCATGCTATTGTTGCTGCAACTACCTCAGGTATTTTAATGCTTAGTGCCCACCAGAGACAGAAGTGCTCATGTAATTGATCCCAGTGAACCAATCAACCCGTTCATATAATATCAGATACAGAATCAGTATCAGATACAGAATCAGCCCATATAACTTGATTTCTAAAGAAAAGAGTCCACTTTCCCAATATTGAGCTTCTAGTTCTCCATTTACTTTTTGGCTTTCCTTCCTTAACAACTTCCCCCTATTTTTACATTTACCTTGGTCATGAGATGTTGTCATCAAAGTTCAACCTATAAACCATTTGCTTTGAAGATATTTTACCTGGAGAAAGTCATTTTCCTAGCATGTTTTCTGAGATTGTGATTTCAATCATATTTCAATCCTATCTTCTCTGTACTTGCAAAGTTTATAACTTTGATTTGCTATCACATTAACTGCACTAATAGTAATTGTAAGAATATGATAATCTGCTATCATGTATAGCACTATTATAAGCAATAGGTTACCTAGTGAGATACATGTACATATCTGTACCATGCATGATAAGTTGAGGCCCACCTAAGTAGGCAAGGCACTCAGGCAGGGGAAAGAGGAAGGACTAAAGGGCCGCATTAAGTTTTAGTAATGGACATTATTTAAGTACTATTAATGAAGGACTTAAAAGGTTCTGGGTTCTAATCCCCCTGCCCCTCCTTGCTTCTTAAATCCCACCCCTCCCTGCTAGAAATTTTGAAAAAAAAAAGAAAGAAGTACTATTAATGATTTGCCATCAGGTAACAGATTTTACTCTAATTTCCCACCAACAAAAGAAAAGTTTGCACAATTCAAAGTAGCAAAGCATCTCCAGCTGGAGGAAACAAAACCAGAAAAGTGTTACTTTGCAGAAAAATATTAATTGGAAAATGTTTAATAGCAGATAGAAAATATTTTTACATGCTTCCAAGGCATGCATGCCACCTAGTTTTAAGATAATACATTTAAATTAAGCAAGGAAAATCAATTTTGACCCCTTCCACTGAATTCTTCACGCAATCTATGATACGCCAACAGAAAACAATGTCAAGCAAGAAAATAATGGCACGTGTTGCCACTTTGTTACATGTACCTACAATCAACAGAATAAATAAATTAATACAAGTGCAAGCAAGAAGTCAATCTGCCCCGAAGCAACCGCATTTTTTATAAAAGCAAAATCATCCATGCCATACAGCAATCTGTATAAATAAGTAGAATGTACAACTAAGTATGAAAAAGGGGAGAAAAATTCAATCATCTATGCGCACAACTATATTCAATTACCGAAAGCAAAAGATTAGCATTTTAATGCAATGAACTTACAGAGTACGATGCTGTCAGGAAACAATTGATGATCTGCCATGTGTAACCAACAGCATGAAAGGAGAGATCCGTAATCCCCCCAGAGATTGCTGAAATAATCTGCACAAGAGAACTTCCTGTCAATTGATTATCTCCAGTTTAGTGTAGGTTCAAAACTTGAAACCATATCAACAAGAAAATACAATCAGAGTAAATGCGCTGTAAGCATGCATATGTTAAACAAAGCCACTTTAACCACCAAAATGGCAGATGAAACATTTCAAAATTCCGTGAGAAAGTTAAATATGGATGAGATTGCAAGCAGCAGTGGCTGAGCAACTATACATATATCTGGGGTTGGACTTTCACTAAAATGCATAGTCCTTAAAGAGTTACAAAGGGAGGTTCACAATTATCTCCTCTAGATTTCCACATTTACATTATCATGCCCTATAAAGCATGACAGTTGAACAAAAAAACATACTAGGTATTAAGTCAGTTTATTCTTGTGACTTCATTTTTGATACTTTAATCATTAATGCTAACTGGTTCATTTGTTAATCGTAAACAAGTATAAATCATCTTAGGTGAAGTAACCATTAACTCTTCAATTTAAAATCTACCTTATACACATATGAAGAACATGAAACATCTATCTCCAATTTATTCGAAACTTAACATGGCTGCTGCAATTTTTTGAAAGACTGGTGCATCTAAGTTGCCCAACAATTCATCCAAGAACATATTTAGTCACATTGAAAAGCTAAAGTACTTGCAAGTCATCTCCACTAACCCAAATAAAGCTATTGAAGCACTAAAGTCATCAAAACTGCTTTAATCTCTATGGGAAATCATGATTAATGCATAATGAACATCTTAAGCTAAACTCTTGAAGCACTCAACTCAGCTAAATACTTTATCCTACAAGTTTCACCAATTCCATTCCTTCAAAAGCTGAAAATTCAGTTTTCTTAGTATTTATACACATTCAAGATGAATTTCAGCATTTCACTTCTAGCTGCATCTACAATTTTTTCCAAATCGTTTTCACTAAAATGGTTTATACATAAAATCATTTACAATGTGCATCCAACAAATTCACTGACTAAAAAAATGTACGTAAATCAAATTCACTGATAAAAAAATGTGCATACATAAAATGTACACATACAAGTCTTTCAGAATTTGTATAATTTTAACTTCAGTAAAGAGCTAAAATATTGTGGAAAATTATCTTATAGTTGTTGAAACATACCATTAGGAAAAGAGCAGCCCAAACTCTGTTGTCATGGTGCTTATTAAAAAGATACATTTCACCAATAGCAGTTATCACGTTTGTTACATTCTTCAGGACTGTGACCATTGCAACATTAATGTACTTCAAACTGCAAAAGTCAATGCATCAAAATTAGAAAACTAAGATATTAGACAACATTTGGAACAAAATATATGACAATAATACAGAAAAGTTTAAACCACAAAGTCCTCCTTGTTGCTCACAAAAAATATACTTAGCTATGTATGTCATAAGTAGGAGCAGTAACAAGTAGCCAGGCAAAAAGAGCCACATTTACATTTTTAACTACAAAAGAATCTGTTTAAAAACAAAATCTTAAATATTGCACCTTTTCCATTACTTGTGTGGATAGTCCTACCCGATAGAGTATATAACTTCAACCAAATGGATCAATTTCTAGTGACATAGCTTGATTATATTTTTGTAAAGCTAAAGCCAAATTCTTTGATTGAGCTCACATCCTTCATGGTTGTAGGTTAATTATAAAGATCTTCCATGCCTGAGGATTAACATCTCATAAGAGTCCTCTCATATGTAGAAAAAGATTAATGATGCGATTATGAACTACCCAGGGACAGTGTAAACAAGAAATCTCTTGCCAAGATTCCAGCAAGAGATCATTTCTCATGTTAAGCCCACTGAAACTAGATATAAATGACACTATCATCACTTTGCTAATTTTAACACTTTTTGAAGCTAGTTGTCATGTTTAACTTTTGGTTCACCAAACTGAGGCAGTTTTACAGGACGAGAGGGAGACATACTCAAAGCCACTACTCCAAAACAACAAATGTTTCTACAAGGAACATTAATCATATATAACATCCACCAAATCAGTCATGGCGGTCCACCTCTCTTCAATGAAAGAAGAACAAACGAAATGCGACAGAAAAGTGCAGCAATTATTGGCATCCAGTGCACCAAATTCTCATTCATGACCCAGCACCAGGAGTTCAATTCTTTCTAATCCACTATGAGAATTAATACATTATTCCTAGTTCCAGACAAACTATAATTTACAGGACTTCTAGTTAATATTTATCTTCAGAAATATTGGGTCAGGCCCATGAATATGATTTTACACCAATAAATATCCATGAAAAAGTGGCTAACCCACTATCTGTTAACCTCTTGACCCACATAACAATATCTTAATCCTTTCAAATAAATAACTAAAGCTAATGAGGATGCAAAATGACCAAAGCACGAAATCATAAGTAGCTACACTTTAACCCTTGAACTTCTTTCATTGAACTTAGCCAGCCCGTTGAGTATGTTAACAAACTTTATAGTGAACAAACATCCAGAGTATGTCTTCCAAAGAAAAGAATACAGTTGCATTTCATAATTGCCATAAATTGAGTACAAAGAAGTCCCAAATTCCTACACGCGTTAACAAACTTTACAGTGAACAAATATCCGGACTACATCTTTTGAAGAAAATAATACAGTTGTGATTCATAATTGATATAAACTGAGTACAAAGATGTCCTAAATTCCTACACATATGAGATGGCCAAATTTAAAATCCTTTCATCCATCAACCATTTGAACTCTTCTTCCCCTGTTTCTCACTCATCAAAGATCTGCTTTACATAAACAGCTAGAATTTGCTTTGAAGTTTTCTGAACTGAACGACCAATGATGCCTGGATAACATATATCCTATCATGCATGATACATATGAATATACTATAATAATGGGTATGCAATATTTTGTATTGGTGCTCAGTAAAGGATTTGTGCATGAAAACCATACACATGTATTAGTCTGACTAAATTTGGCAACAGATCTTATAGCAACATACCATCTTGGAGTAAAATGATGGTATTTGATGTAAAGGGGGAACATAGCTTCATCTCTCCAAAAGATATTCTGGTCAATTTTTTAGTTCTTTATGTTGAACTTAACCATAGTTAATTAAGTAATGCAAAACAACTTTAGGGGTTTGAAACCAAGGCACAACCTCAACGTAATTCAGTGTACTTCCCCAGAGAAATTGTACCGAATACATAAGCTTGCAAGGAGAACAGTTTCGGCTTTCCAAAATGTGCCAAAATTTGCTAGCATAAGGGAATAAATCAGTGAACTATAGTAAATAATGCCAAGAACCTACTGAAAATATACTTAACTACAAATCGTTGGGGCAACATCTTCCTAAACCATGCTTCATTCCTTTGTACATTAAAAAAATACCAAAACTTGATTTCTTAGCTGCTAAAAGGTAATGACAAAGTAATTGGCAAAAAGTTACTGCCAATTTGGTCAAAGTCAGGGTAATCAACAAACACATATAACTTCAGGATGTATACCATACAAATTAAGGTGTAAGTTTTACTGAAAATCAGTAACTTGACCATGGAAAGTAGAGTACCCTTAGTTTTCCTTGAGGAAAGCAAAACTTTTACAGTATCAGATGTGGTAAACATCCTTTTATTTATCTACTTATTATTTTGGCATGAGCATAAGGGGAGCATCCATGAAAAATCATGAAATTGTCCTAAAGGCACATTGAGCTTCACATGCAGAATTCCTCATATATCATTACTTTTGCTCATACATTGCATGCCATAAAAATAAAAAGGCACAATCAAAAATACCATGTGGAAGGTAAAAATTCATATTGACAAGTTGAAGCTTTTTTTAATGAGGCCAAATGTAAATGCATTATGAAATACAGCGCTATTCAAACGTAAAAATGCTGATGACAGAACACTATTTGCCATTTGAAACTAGCAAGAGGACCTCTATTCTCTGATCATATGGTATGTCTTGGATTGGTGGCGGATTCAACTCATGAACAGAACAATCCACTATGCAGTTTGCACAAAAAAGTACCGCCCAAAAGTTCAGAACAAATTAAGCTTGGACATGAGCAAAGAAACAGTGCAAAGAACAGGACAAGGTCAGCATGACTACAATTTATCTTGGAAAGCTCTAAACCCTCGATTAACTCAATTTATAGAGAAAACAAATCTTGAACATAAAATGTGGAAAACATCATACCTAAACATACTTGTAATAAGCATCCCAACAAATATAACATTGACAGGCAACCAGACCTTAATCAGTCTCCATGTGAGTGGTTCGGTAGATATTACACCAAAGAAACTCAAAACAGAAACAACCACCACTGAAACAAAATTCTGCATCATAGAACAAAAAAGTAACTAATTAGGCTTCCAAGTTAAAAAAAAAAGCGTATGCATGTCTCTAATTAGATTACAAGCACAAACAAAAACTGTAAAATACCTGGTATAGCATCAAAGAAATCCCAGCATTAAAGCCATAACCGGAGAGGACATACTTGTTAACCAGTATCATGCAACATGAAGAGATACAATATGCAAGACCAGAAAGTAATGCCTTGTTGTGAGCTGCAATTGCTCTATGGCTTCTTGTTGTCTTTTCTCGGTCTTTCTCCAGAAATTTTCCTTTTTCCAAATCAGTCTCATCATCTTTGTCAAGAGACTTCATCAGAAACGATGATCTACACTTAAAATGATAAATATCAAGAGCCAGTGATATCTAAGATAAAACAATTGTTATATCAAGAAAAGTAATAATGCCATGATCCCTCACAGAGAGTTATGGACCTCAGAAGATAGTGCCAAAGCTAGATAAGAAATGATGCAATTACGAGTATACCATACATTGATTGCTTAAATGACATCACCAAAAAGATCACTGGTGTTTTCAATCTTCAATAACAACAAGAATGTCAACATTTACTGCAGAATTTCAGTGAGAGGACTATTAAACTTGCATATAAGAATTCTTCTGCTTGCTGCCTTGAAAATTGCAGTGAGTTATGTAAAATCGAATGCAAAATCTAGCAATCTTTGTTCAAAGAAAAGACAGAAGGAAACTTTTGGTGCAATTTGAGTACTAAGTAATGACAAACATAGTATCTGATTAGTGTCTAGTTAGAAACTAACTTTTTAAATATTTCACATCACATGCCAAGAAAATATATTTTCACTAGCACAAAAGTAAGATGTATAAATCAATATAGCTGGCCTCCAGGATTCCCATTTCTCTCTTAGAAAAATACTTCCACTAACCACCAGGAAAATTAATATGGACGAAAGCAGAGTAGGTACACATTTCGGGACCACCATGACTAAATAGAGATCCTGAAATGGTTGAACATGTAAGTTATACCTGTTGCACAAATTATTACCTCATACTTCAAAAGGTTACTAAGCTACCCATATAAGGAGATATACATCTGCGAGAATGAGTTCATTTTCCAAAGGCAAACATTCTCTTCAGTTGGATACCGTCGGTACTCTGCAATTGTGAAGGGAATGCAAATCTACTATAGATTGTAGGTAATATATATCAAGTAAGAGACCAAAATGATGCACATTCCAAAATTCTCTTTCTGCACCTAATGGATTTCATCACCCAGATTCTGTTGCAATGCCAAGTAGACAGAAAAAAGAAAGTTCAACATTTTATATACTATCCCTCGTAGAGGGAAAAAAGCCAACAATAAGCTTCAAAGTCCTGAAGATTCCAAAATGTAGTTTACCACCCAGCTCTACTTCAGGAGTAAAACAAAAGGAGACAATGCTATCAAATATAAATACGAGTTGATCATGAATAGTTAAGCACAATTTTCAGATTCTCCCTCTCTACTTATTTTCCTTGCAAGATTTTTATCTTTAAGTTATTCCTTCCCCAGCAATGCAATCATCTTGGTTAATTGAACCCAGCATGATTCTTTAATACTGATTCTACCAAGTACGCTATCTACAGATGACCTGACATGAGAACTGTGGCAGGACTAGATACACAATGTTGTAGAAATTAGCTATAACAAGTTTAATCATGACATAGTTTTTTTTTTTTTCAAATAAACCAAGTTAATGAAATCAAAGAAGGGCTAATTATATACCAACAAAGCAGCATGATGCTAGTAAAAGGATTATTCCTTCAACTTTTGCCAAGCTGTTGTGCATTTTGTTTACCTAGGCTCATGGTTCCTAAACAACCGATATGCTGGATCTCTCATCTGCGGTAAACTTAAAAGTATCCTGAACTCCTTTTCCAGTTTAAAATTCAAGTTTCTCCAATACCTATAGGAAAATCCAAGAGCTTTGGCAACAAAGTCAGACAATTTGGAATATCAAAAAATATAGGAGTCTTGAACAAACATACTCAGGAATCTGCAAAATGGGCTGCAACCAGCCTTTGGCTATTTGAGAGTTACTAAAGGGCTGTGAAGTCATTTATGAACAAAAAAATAGTGAGTCATTAACTGTCCTGTACACATTAGATCTGGCATACATTAAACTTTTCCTTCGAGGGAACACTCTCTGTTTATCATTTCTGTACTCACTGGCTTTTGTGCTCTTGCTCATGAAACTTAAATTCTATATATGGACTACGTATTGCATTATAATATTTCAAGAAACACATTCTGCCAAGAACCCATCTACTACTTCCCTCCATCCCGCTTTCATAGTCAACCACGCTGTGGCCACGCTTCTTTGTAGAATCAATTCATGATTCCCTTAACTACATTATCCCTCATGTTTGATATAAGATAAAACAAAAGGTTGTAATTTGTGTTTGGTAAAGTAAGAGATCTAATATAGTATACTAAATTATTGAATTTTTAAGAGTGTTGACATTATATTTGGGAAGTCTCAATTAGCAAGTGTGACAACATGAGTGAGACAGAGGGAATAATTGCTAGGGCATCCAAATACTTCACACCCTTTCTGTTCTGAGTGAGAAGGTTGACATACGAGAATGAATAACTTCATGCGACTCCAAAAATCTGTAGTACTACCACATGAGGCTCCAAAATTGAAAATTTATCACCAGCCTTTAAGAAATGAAAGAGTAAAACAGATAAAAGATACAGATTGATAAATGTAATAAACCAGATAGAACCAGAAAAAAAAAGAACTTAATGATGAATCTTTATTGTTGATTCAGGATTAGGAGTCGAGTTGAATTTTAGATGAAGGATCAAAAACACCAAAAAGAGAAAGGTTAAGTGCTGCTCAAGTAAGAAGTCTCATGCGCGCTGACTTTGGTTCCAATTGCAATTCCAGAGAAGCCAATTCTGACTAGATCTTCAAGGATTCTTAGAATAGTGATAAAAAATTATGTAAAAAATCCACTTACTTTAAAAAATATTCTTGTGGAAGAGTGCAAATTCTCATCAGTAGTATCCTTTTAGGGGTTTTGTCTTTCTCTTTGAAACTTTTCCATCATTTTCTGACACATGGATCCATGTCAATGCCATCTTTTCCACAAAAATCAACACGCTAAGAGTCCCAAGAAGTGATTCAAAATAGTATTTCATGTCAAGAACAACAAATGAAATCCAACTGAAGTGCAGATGACTGATACCCTGTATGTCTGAACCAAATAACATGTAGATTGATCCCTTCAATGTCAGAATCGACATACTACTGCTCCTCTCAGTGTTAAAATGGAAAATTCAAAAGGTCAGAGAGTTTTGAATCTTCTGTCTAACGCAAAATGACAAGCACTAGCTTTCCTGTTTTTGATCTACTAATGAAATTGGATGGCAATCAGTTTAAGTTCAAGCAAACATGCATCCATTGCAACCCATCTATCGAATAGGTGTCAGCGTACACCACACCATCAAAGCTCACATGAAGCCAACCCAAGGTCAGCTTTTCAAATATAAAAAGGCACGCAGAATTGAAATATCAAATACCAGATATAATTTTTCCCCAGGAGGTCACCAAGATAAGAAAGATATTACAGAGGAAAATGATGAGTTCTCAGGGCATTTTCAAGGAAGCACACCATTTTGAACTATCTACGACCTCTAATGCACCAAGTAGAATACATATTCCATTTAATAAACTTCTTATGTCCAAAAACTAAATTATACTGCTGAGCACAAAAACAAAGTTCATTTCTGCAAATATAAAGGTGAAGCGCCTACCATATGGACAATCAAATTGTTCACTGTGCAAGATTCACTTACAAGAATATGTCAAAAACACTGACAAGAAAAGTACATACTTATTTTCATGCCATTACTACACAAAAATGAAAATAACTAGCAAGAAATGAGGGAATATATCAACATTCAAAAGAAGACCATCAGATTTTCATAATCCAACGAATCAAATAATTTCTGTTTCAACTTTTTGATTTGATTGGCAGAAGATATAAAAGTAGACAGCATATAAGCCTGCATCAGAACTGTGCGATGGCATAACAGCCACATGTGCCTCATTAAAAATGATTACATATACTAACCTACCTACTAGAAACTTCTCTTCTGACTGGACTGTAGACTTGATCTGCTAAGCTTTTTGACTGATGAATTTTGAGGATTCTCTCCCCAGTTTCCGTTGCCCCACCAATATTGTTGATGAGGATTGTGTCCACTACGAGGTCAGGAGAATCTATAGGGGAACCTATAGACAAAGTTCTTCAACATTAAAATGCCATTAGCTTCAAAATATGGTTAAGAACTAAGAAGAAAGAAGCAAAAATTCCAAGTAAACATTACAGTCAACCTAAACATCAATAGAAAAGCTATAAATTTTCATGGGATTTGTTTTAAGATACAAAAATCATGAGTTGCAATAATTTGCCATTCCATAATTCTTACAAGCCAGCCAAATTATCCAATTTTGGAGATGGTACAGTTAAGGAACCAAGTTGTATTGTACAACATAAAAATGCTTTCACTTTTTCTAAATCCTTTCTGATGTGTGGGTCAAATCTTCAGAGGTTTGACAGCCAGGATAGAAACAAACGACTGTTTAAAGAAAATGTAATCATAGTCATTTACAGAAGATCATCAAAATCCTCAAAAAGGGCCAATACCAAATCTCTTAAATCTGGCCTCATCAACTTTTAGGATTGCTTGGTTGGGTTTTAACTGAGTATAATTACGGTCTCTGCAACTACATTAAATTTCTAATTCTATGGTATCACTCTTATCCTCTCCCCTACTCGAACGTATGTCACACTCAAAATCCTACACAAATTCCTTGGAATGTTTAAGAAAAAGGAGGTTAAAAATTCTGCATAGGAGCACATCCAGTCCTTTACATCCTACTCACTATCAAAACCAGACAGAGCAAAGTATTTTGTGCCCAGAAATCCCATTTTCGTCCAAAGTTGCAGTCAAAAGCCCCAGAACACTTATCCAATGCAAGTAAAATTCTCAACTTTTTACACAACATATATGCATATACTAGGTACGGAATATCAACACTGAAAAAGGTAGACTGCTAATGAAATCCAGTGATTTCCCAACAACAAATTACAATCTGAAATGGTATACCATCAATACTCAAACGAGAATTAGTGATAAACAAGGATACATGTAAACTAGCCTTTGATACAGTTATAAGCATATATATATATATATATATATATATATATATGGGAGCGGAGCTAAATTCATCTTGCATTTATTCGGTCAACTGCTCACATTTTTGCACTCTGAAGTTTAAATATCATTAAAGCAAAATCTAGGAGTCAAATCCTTAATTAAAAAAAAACACTGCTAAATACAATCTAACCCAGTGAGCATGAGCAAATTGAGGAGTTATTGCACAAAGGTTCTAAAGTTTTAAAATAGAAGCTTCGATTTTTTTAGCAATCAGATATGGAAAACGTAAAAAAGATAATAGAGACCATCTCTTTATGAACTTTTACTCAGCAATCCTATCTGATGAGGTAAAGAGGTATAAAAGAAAATCCTCATCTGGGATTATACACTGTTCTAAATCATATAAAAGTTAAAAGAAAACACTTGAATTACTTGATCAAACCCTAATGCCAGCAAGTATAATCTTCAAATTCAACATATCAAGCAAATTAAGAAAAGGATTCACCATGAATTTATGCAAGACTGTAGCTAATGAACTCCAGACACCAATCTGAGAAGAACCCTTATCAGTTTACACCAATCTGAGAGAACCCTTTTAAGATTAAATATTGGATTGATACATAATGAGAGAACAATTGTGGGAATATTAGTACAAGGCCAGTTTGGAAGTGCTCAAGGTATCAGAATCAGAAAGAGTCAGACAAAGAAATGGCAAGGAGAAAGAAAGGATGTTTTTTGCCTGTTAAAAGATGGGGTTTATAATTGTAATTAATTTGACAATTTCCCAAAAGTGGCAGGCAATTTGGCAGAAACCCAATGGCCAATCCCGTCTCTTTCTCTAGTTCTGCAATTGGGGAGTTCAAATTGCCATGGAGAATAAATTACGCCAGGGCAAAAGCCATCATGCCAGAGTACTATCCGATGAAATACCAGCTCTACCCTCAGGTATTTTATTTTTGATCTATTTTCATGTGTCTTGACTAATTAATAAGTGACTTCTAAGCTTTTTGATTATGTGACTTCTAAGTTCGATTAAACATGGTGCTTGTTAAATGCAAATTTTCGTTGATTAGCAATTGGATGATTATGTTCAACTATACACAAATAGCTTATTGTAATTAGAAGGTTTGGGTTCAAAACCTCCCACTTTAAAAAAAATTTATTGTAAAATATGAAGTACAGATTTGTAATGCATTCTCGTACAAGTTGTTTAGTTTTTAGTATTTATTGTTAAATACATCTGAAAACATAAATATAACTTTGTGTATTATCATAAAAATCATTTCACAGGTGAAAAAGTTAAAGAGGAGTGTGAATAACAATTTTCAGAGTATCATTAACATCACCCTTTTGTATTTATGATGAGCGATAAGAATTACGCAATGAATCAAGTTTTATAGTTTTTGGATCTTGATTGTTTGAATTGGTAATTACTATAAAAAGAAGTTTTTAACACCCAAAAAAAAATCCCTTAAAAACATGCAATGATCCTAAAGTGTAAGCTTAATTAGAATATTGTGTCGTTTTATTTCTTAATTTAATGAAGAATATGAAGTAATAAAATTAAATGATAGATAATACCTACATTAGTATTTATTGGAGATTGAAAACAAAAACAAAAAAAATCTAGATCCAAGCTAACGTTATTTATTATTTCCACTTATTTGGAGTTGCAAGAACTTCTCTTTTCCTTCTTGTCTGAGAAGAGAAGTAAATGTTAGCACATGGCTAAAACTTTGAGATCTTGCATCACACTATGAAGGATATGGTCAGATTGATATTATCCTATCAAGAAGTTAATTATTAGAAGATTAGTAGTTGGAAAAACATGCACAAATTTTCTTGGATTTGCAGTGCTTTATCTGATTTTGAGTATGTATGAAGCTTAACATTGTAATTTTTATTATATATATATATATTCACTGTACTCCAATGTCACGTGGCCGAAGGCCATTGGCCGCTTTTCAGCAGTGTGGGGCCATGGTCCGTTTTTCATACTTGTGGGCCTATATATATATAGATACACACGTACACGTACATAGCAACTTGTATCAAGCAGTTGTTTATGTTAAAAGGGCCTTAACTTTAGCTTTTCTTGTCCACTTTACATGATTTAAGGAAAATAGATCTCGCTTGGGTTGCAAGTTATATATGAAAAATTTTTAAAATATTCCCTTAACTTAGTTTTAACTATCTATTTACTTTATACACACTAGATCGTTACAGTACATTTTTCTACACAAACTTTCAGAAACTCTAATCCAAATGATTTATCACTTCAAATATAACCTTTACCTTCAAGGAAGTTGTTTAACAAGATTATCTTTAACTGCTATCAAACTGGCTTCGCAAAATATTTTACTCTTTAGAATAAAAACTAGTGAAAGAGAGTACATGGCAATGATGAAAGAAGTAAAATAACTGTGTAACTTAACAAAGCGTTTAAGAAGAATAGCAAAGTTGCTTTCAAGAAATGGTTGGTGACCTATATTTCCTGGTAATTTGATAATGAAATTTAGATTATTTCTTAGGATAGGCAATCACTTGCCTGACTTTGGCTGTTGATGTCATTTTCTAAGCAAAATGTTATTATTTAAGTTCGCCCACAATATTTATAAATGCTGTTTGTTGGTTGACCTCTTCATATTTTAGAATTTTATGCAAAGTTTTAACTTTTGGTTCTATTTTGACTATTTCTCCGCACACTCTCGTCCCATAAATTATTATGTCAACTTGTTCTTTTTTAGACTATGTACAAAATCTGTCCCATTATCAAAAGCTCTTTTGAACCACTAAGAGCAGTTGCAAAAAAAAAAAAAAAAAAAAAAAAAAACCACAAAGAGCTTTAACTCGCCACCAAAAATGAACTAAATCCCTCTTTGGGTCGTAGGTCGGGATTCAAACTCCACCTTCAGTGGAAAAAATCCAAAGAAGCTGTCGAAGCACACTTTTGATCTAATTAGATCTATACCTGCTAGTTTCTTATATAGTTTCTTTAAGCCCCCTTCCTTGCAGAATTGAATAAATTAGGTTATAAAAATGTTATCGTTACGGTAAAAAAATAATAATAATAAAAGCTCTTTTGACTATTTTTCCCCTGTTTGTTTAGCTTACTTCAAGCTAAGATAAGGTGAATTTTGAGAATCAACCTTTATTTTTTTCTTTGAAAGTAATTTTTGGCTTCCAAAATCTTTCTTGTTGGAAAATAACATGCTTTTAGATTCTAGCATTGCTCAATAACTTGGTCCAGCCTAAACCCAATAAATTAAAAGCAAATTAAGAAGAAAGTCAGATCCAAGCATAAACCAACTTAGGTTTGACTATAATCTCTTTTTCTGGTAAAAGAACTTCAAAACAACTCAAGCCAAATTAAGAAGAATGTGCCAATCATACTCTATCAAATTCATTAGGCAACATATATAGATCAGTCTAAAATTTAAGGAAAAAAATAAAAATAACAAAGGACATAATAGTAATGCACTTTTCTTTGAGGCTTTTTCCAAGAATATACCAAGGTGTGTTTCTAAGGTTTGTTGCACCAGAAGCTTCAACTTAACTGAGGACCACAATAATACATCAAGGCGGGGTCGTTTTCTACCCAAACCACCATTTCGTGGAGTGCCAATTGAACGAACATGTGCCCATGACATTGTTCCTTTTGGATTGCTCTTTCCGGTAATCCTTGCATTTTGTTTAATCATTGTTCCTTTTGGATTGATTGCTCTTTCCAATAATACTTGCATTTTGTGTAATCACTAATGCAACTTGAGTATTGAATTTCTCATTGTATTGCAGGCCTTTGTGGATACAATTACTTGCAACATTTTGGCTTAATCACATCAAACCCTATTGTACTTTGGCGTTTGTTGCACTTTTTCCATGAAAATTCTTTCTATCAACATTTTGCCCCCTATAACGAATAGTTAATGCTTAGGGAATCCATAATAACTTTCATGCCCTTGATATATATTGAGTGTCTAATTAACTAGCCCTTGGACATTAATTGCTAAGACCAACTAAACTTTCTTTTCCTTTTTTCTTTAAACTTTATCTCTTCTTTTTTTTTTTCTTGCATTCTATGCTGCAATAATTTTGTCTCCTAATTACTTGTATATTCAAAATAATAATATTGATTTAGGGTGCATTTGATAAAACTGAAGTTTGACAACTGAAATTTGAAATTTGAAATCCAAACTTTGAATTCATTAAGTTTTTGAATTGTTAATTATTAAATCAAATACATTTGAATGAATATTGCATTCAGTGATAAGTGAATAACTTATTAATTATTTTTGGAAGCAAGTTTTGCCTTAGAAATTCAGTGCCACTTAATTAATTTAGATGTTTAATTTTTGGCTATCAAACGCGTCTTAACATATTATGATTTGAATTCATCAAGTTTAAGTGCCGAATTGGGTTATCAAACAGGCCTTACTTTAACAAAATTTTTGTGCATGAGTTGGCTCATTTATTTGTTATTTTTAAACCTAACAACTAATGCATATAATCTTTACCTTTATCGTTATATGTTTTCAACATACAATTACTAGATTAAACACAATTTTATACATAGGGAACCTTTAATTTTGTAGGTCTTAACAATGGGAACTTAGATACCAAAATACCATGAAAAAAAATAAAAGAATCAGGTACAACAAATCTAAAATAAAAATTCCAAGTATCCAATTATTTGTGTCAAATGGAAGGAAATTGTGGTAGATAACAACAATAAAAAAAAGGGTTAATCACATTTTATCCCTTTAAAAAATACCCCATTTTTCAGTTTACCCTCTAACCTTTAATTTTGCTCACTTCACCCCCTTTAGGACAAAATTGCCCTTGCATGATTTTGACTTTTCATTTACCTTGTTTTCCTTTCTTTTATATCTTTTTCTCTTTTTTCTTTGTTTAATTCTTTCTCTTTCCCACAAAAATCTTCACCTTAATGATTGAAATTAAAAAAGAGAAATTGCAGAGATCTATCTTCTCCTTAAATGATTAAAAAAATATTCAAATCACTTTCCTAAAATATAATTTTTTTAGCCTTTCAATTATTTTAATTTTGGATTTTCCTCTTTCCTTTCTAGTTTCTCATTTTATTCCCAAGAAAATATCTTAAGATGAAATTGTGACCTGATTAATAATCATCAATTGAAATTTGTGACATGTGGCATCATACAAAAAATCAAAATTAGTTTTTGATGCCTTTTAAACCTTCACCCAGAAATATGCAATTACAAACTCAAAACAAAAATTTTCGTTGAAATGAAATTTCTATTGGGAAGGGTGAAAGAGAGAAGATAGAGAAAAATAAATAAAAGAAAGGAAAATAATTTCATCTTATGATATTTTCTTGAGAAAAAAATGAGAAACTAGAAAGGAAAGAGGAAAACCAAAATTAAAAGAATTGAAAGGCTAAAAAAATTGTATTTTAGGAAAGTGATTTGAATATTTTTTTTAATCATTTAAGGAAAAGATAGATCTCTGCAATTCCTCTTTTTTAATTTCAATCATTAAGGTGAACATTTTTGTGGGAAAGAGGAAGAATTAAATAAAGAAGAAAGAGAAAAAGAAATAAAAGAAAGGAAAACAAGGTAAATGAAAAGTCAAAAGGGGATTAAATGAGTAAAATTAAAGGTTAGGGGGTAAACTGAGAAATGAAGTATTCTTTAAGGGGATAAAATGTGATTAACCCTAAAAAAGAAGAAGAAGAAGAAGAAGAAGAGAGGTATGTAGTTCTAGGCACTTAGTATGTAAGAATAG